GTGTTGTCTGGATGGATTTGTGCTGGTGTCATGGCTTCAGGAAGAATTTCTGGGGGGAAGAAAGCTGGAAGAGCCCAGAGCAGTGGGAGAAGAGAAGGTTCTGGTGAAGCATTTATTGCCTCTTATCTTTCAGCTAACTCTGCCTGAAGCAGGGGGGTCTGCACACTGAACCCAATGTGTAAGGAGCCAGCTGCAGGTGGGTTGCAGCTTCTTGTGGAGCTCCATGTGGACACTACTGTGTAACCTGGCTCCAAAGACCCTCCAAAGAGAATCATAGGTTGAAAAAGACCATCAGGATCACCCAGTCCCACCTCAATCCATCCCACCATGCCCGCTGACTGCATCCCTCTGTGCCACATCTCCATGGTTCTTGAACACCTCCAGTGACAGTGACCCCACCACTCCTGGGCATCTGTGCCACTGCATCTTCTCCTTCTGAGAAGACATTTATCCTAATATCCAACCTGAAGAGGGCCAGTCCCATCTGCACACTGTGCAGTGCCTCCTGCTGAGCACCGCAGCACCCCAAAGCCCTGCACTGCTCTGCTCATCGCTGCACCTTCTGAGTTACCAATGAGGAACTTCACCTTGGTCTCCTTGACCCGTAGCTCTATGAATCTGACTTAAAGGTTTTTATTAAGGTGTCTTCAGATAGCTGCAGTTCTTAGAAAATACTCCAAAATGCCTCTTAGAGAAGAAGCTCGTGGGCAGCCCAGGTGTCACTGTCACAATCATATTGGGGAATCTGCTTTCCTGGCTGCCTGCCTGCAGCAATCCTGCTGAAGGCAGCTGAGCCTGAGGGTTATATAAAACACTCATCCCTTCAAGCTCATCATCTGTTTAAAAACCATACCAAAATGATTTATTTATTCTTCTGATAGCAGATGAAGAATGGAAACCGAGAAAATAATCTCCAACTTTAGCTTCCCTTTATGCATTTAGTATCTCCAGCATGGACCAATGTCACGGTTAGGTTGAGCAGAAGGGGAGAATGGAAATGCTTTTTCATGTGATGCTGCATCCTTAGGAGAGCTTGTTAGACAGCAGCATCCTGTAATTTTTATTTTCTCTATTGGAATGGATTTGGCTTTGTTTCTGCTGCATCCTCTGTGCAGTGCTGGCTGCAGATGGGTAGCTTGCATAGCGTTACTCATCTGAATAATCCCAGGTGGACGGCAGCCATAAAAGAAAGATGCTTCAGCATCACTAGCGCTGAATGGATTATGTGTGCCTGAAGTCCTGAAGACACAGAACAAGAGAAATGTGGCCTGCAGCAGGGCTTGGGCAGTGGCCCAATGGTCACAATGCATTATCTCTTTGGGCAGTAGTCCCTGCACTGTGTTATCCTTAGTGCGTGGTACTACGATGATGGATAGGGGTCCAAACGTGGTGCAAAAATGGTTGAAGTAGACACTAAGAGGGGGAGAAAGTATTGGACTGCATGCATTAAACAAACGTGTAAGTTGCCAACAGCTCTCATTTGGTGTGAATGAAGGCTGGCTGGGAAGCAGACCGTGGTGCATTTGCACAGGAGGCGGCTGCCCCACTGCTCTGTGAATGTGGCATGAGGCAGACAGGGCTCTGCTGGCCTCCTCCCAAACCTCCCTGCTTCTGTGGGGGTGTTAGAAGGAATGCATGTGCCCGGCTGTAAACCAGGTGGGAGGTGTCTGTGCAGGCAGGGAACCTTCCTGAGAAGGCTGAGCTGCAATGGATGTCTCAGCTCAGCAGACAAAATGGGCCGTGTTTATTTTTAGGTGTGCAAACTGTGATTTGTTTGATGGTTCACAAAACCACAGGGTGCTGTGGGGTTTGTCCCCAGCCTGAAGTGGGCTCCCAGTGCGTGTTACAGGAGAGGAGGATGATGCTCCTGTAGCTCATCCTGTAGCTGCTCTGTATTTAGCAGTGCTGATAAATAGGAGTATCACAGCGTGCTGTGTTAGAAGCTGGATGCTTTGTTGGCAAAGCACTCATTGCCTCAGTGCTGTCTTTCTGGCAAAGGTTCCCCTGTATAGCAAACATCTCAGCCAGGCTCAGGGTTGGGACCTTTGCCCACATGGTGCAGGGAGCAGTTCTAAGCAGGGTTAGTGGTTGGAGCTGCATTTGGGTGGGAATGTAAAAGCGTGTGTCAATGCATGAAACATTTCAGCATTTACTCTGAAAAAGCAGGCATGAATGTCTGAGAATCTTTCCACTGCCTTTGAAATCGCAGCGCAGCAGTTTCTAACAATGACCTTTAGGAGCGGGGAGCCAGAAGGTGAAATAGAAAAGTTTCAGCATCACTTTCACAAAGAAGTCACAGAGTGCAAAGGACCAACGTAAGCCTGGATCTGTAAGAGTGGAGGGCTGTGTGCATACATGTGCCTGGAGCACACAGGTTGGTCACTGTGTATTTTTTAGAGGAATCTCAGCAAAAGAAGTGTATTTTGGTGTTGTGTGTTTGTTTGTTTGTTTCACTCCACAGTGGCAGTTGCCTTTGTATTTTATGAGCCAGTAATACCTGGGGTATGCAGGCACCGGGTACAGAAGGGAGCGTGGCAGCACCCAGAGCTGGATGGTGCAGCTCACTGGTGTAGGGGGATCTGTGCTGACAGAGGCGTTTTTCTCCATGGGAAAGCGTCTGTCTGCTTGAGGAACTTCTCTGGAACAGCTGTTTCTGGTACAACCTCTGTAGGAATTCACAGAATGACAAACGATGGTGCTGTGATGGCTCGTAAGATGAGAGCCCGTTGCCCTGGGGGGGCCTTTGCAGTGGCTTTTTGCTTTCCCTCTGATGGATGGGTTTGGAGCATGAAGTGAGGCTGTGAGAAGCGGTTGGCTGTGTGCAGGGGGGGTTGCCCAGGCTGTCCCAGGACGTGTGACAAAGGAGCTCACAGCCTGATCCACTCTGGGTGTATTTTCACAGCTGCTGTGGGAGCAGTTTCCATGCAACTCAGCACAGATGTGAATGATCAAATATAAATTGAAGATTGATGCACTCCACCTTGGTGTGTGAGAGGCTCAATTAGAGGCAGAGCAGGCAGAATAATGGAAAATGCATTTGAGTGATGGTTCGGGTAGTATAATTTGCAATGAATTATTCACAACAATTTGTTCACCCCACTCTCATTGTGATCATTTTCAGGCCTTCATTTGCTGCGCTTTTGAAAGCTCTTCCCACAACCTGTACCGAAGCAAATCCCCACACGCAGCCCCTTCTCCCCACCCACATGAAGGACAGGTTTGAAGAAGCTCAGCATTTCAGCACAGAGCTCCCTGGAAGAAGTTAATCAGACGTGTTGAGGTTGAGGAGTTCACACCTGCAACGTGCTGAGGTTTTCCCCACCCAGCAGCCACCAGCTGCTGTCGGGTTATCCATGTCCCTGTAGCTGGAATGTGGGTTTCCTGCCTCTGTGGCCTGGCATGGGCCAGGAGCTGGGAGGGAAGGGGCTGAGTTACACAAAGCTACTCCAGTACCAGCTGGGATTTATGCCACCACATCCTCCCAATGGAGGGGCAGCACTTGCAGGTTGATCTGCCAGCATCTGTTTGTCCAGATCTCTGTAATCAGCCGAAACATGATTATGGGGCTGTGTGTCATTAGTACGCAGGGCCTCCAAAATGGCTGAGATTGAATTAAAGCCTGAATAGCACAGCATCCACAGTAAGTAACAGCCGAGCAGAGCTGTGGGGACAGCTGCCCATCGTCAGCCCTCACTGCATGGATGTGCATGGTCAGGGCTTTTATTGCAGCTGGGTGCGTGGGTATAGATATGGGCTTCCTGCACTGCCTCCGAGCTGGAAAAAACAGCCAGGATTCGGGCTTTGCAGTTGCGTGGGGTGGGTTTTGTTCTTTGCTGTCTTTTCTTTTTTTGGTATTGGTTTTCTCTTGCACATCTGAATGCCTTCGTATTGTTTCCAGCAAGTGGAAACATGCCTCAGACCGGTGGCATTCACACAAAATTTCACTTGGGTTTCGATTTGACTGTCTTGCAAGTGTGCCTTCAGCTGAACAGAGCACTGCTGATGGCTGCATTTCCCAGTGCTCCCCTCTGGCTGCCCTGGGATGTGCAGAACAGAGCTGCATGGGGCTGCAGGCTCACCGCCTTTGCTCTGGGTTATCGTTGCCAGCACTGAAGTTCACTGCCCTTTTAGTGCTCCTTACTTTGCAGCTCTGGTTTTGCTCAGTGCCTGTCTCCTTGCCAGCAGATCAGGTGTGGTTGGAGCATCTGCTGCTGTGTTGGTCCCTATGGGAGCGGCTATGAGCTCTGGCTCTGCCTGTGGTGGCACTGACATCTGGGGTGGGAAAGGCATTAGGTAGTGAAATCTCTGGAGAAAAAGCAAGGAGTGAGAAAGCGAACAGAAGTTGGGTGTGGATCATCCCGACCTGTCAGTGGAGTTGAATTTGAAGAGTTCCTGCTGTTGCTGTCAGATTGCTTCCTCTGCCTTATTGCTATTACCACCATGCAAGACCTGCACCTCAGAGCAAACTTCATGTCTTACCTAAGGGCTAATGGCTTTTTATGTGCTTCCAAAATTTGCATTTTAATGGAATAAATCTTATCCTTACCCCCCAAAGCAGCAATCAAAAAGTTAAGCCTCTGGCATGCTTTCCTCAAATATCCAACCACTCATGCAAAGGGTCCAGAGCAACCCTGGTGTATTTTAATGTGCCAGGGGCCTGAGTGCATTGGGCGCTTTGTACCAACCAGGCTGATGGCTTCTGGAGGCAATACCTCATCCTTCCACAGTGAGATCTTTCTCATGGTTGAAACCCAGACCTTTAGGCTCTCTGACCACCTCAGAGCCCTTGCAGTGTGCAGAGGTTGCAAAGCAAAAGATGAAAACGTAAATTCTTCTGCACACCCACGTGGAAATGGGAGCTGTCATAAAGCCTCCCTTGGACGGAGGCTGGGCAGAAAGCTGTGTGCTGCTGCTCTCTGCTGGATGGAGCCAGCAGGGTGCCCAGGGCTGCTGAGGGGTGGATGCCTGCTCTGACCTTGCTCTCCTCTTCCTCTTTGCAGTGTGCTACCTGCTGAAGAGCAACATCAGCCCTGACCTGTGCAATGAGGACGGACTGACCGCACTGCACCAGGTGAGGCTGCAGGATGATGTGTTCACAGGCGTTGCTGCTTGCTCAGAGCTGGGTCACTTCGCCACGCTGCCCTGGGCAGTGGGCTGAGATCCAACATGTTAACTCACACTGGTAGACTATTGACTGTTGCTTTGGAATGGGCTTAGTTAAATTATGGAAGAAGTGTCAGAGGAGCCCCCACAGCTCTCTGTAAGCTCAGGGACACAGGCTGGTTTGTGTGGAAGGGCTACAGCTGATGGCAGTAAAGCACAGGGCTGTCATCCCACTGCAAGTCTGCATCCCTCCTCGCAGCCTTTCTGCCATGAGGGTTTGTTATTCTTCCTGTAGCTCCATCCCCACCCTGTGATCCTTGGGGCACAGGACCAGAGCCTCAGTGTCGTCAATTTTAAATCTCTCAAAACACATTCAAAAAGACAAGTCTTTAGAGAGGAGACATTGATTTGTTCTGCGTAGGGTGCACAAATCAGATGTGCAGAGTTTCTGCACTGGCTTCTATTTCTAGTCCAAAAGGTTTTCAGTGCACACCTACCTGAGTCACACCTACCTACTGCATGTTCATAGCATTATGTAAATACAAGGGTACATAACATATTTGAACGTTCTGCACTTATGTAGGGGTCTTTGGTTGTTTGGGGAGGTGTCCTACTCCTCGCTTTATCTATGTTTGGGCACAAGGACACCCAGTCCCCTCTGGTTTGTTGCTGTTTTGGACTTGTGCCTCATCTTAAGGATGTCTGTCCTTATTTCTTATTCATGGCAATCTTGGATCTTTGAAGAGAATCATTCCATCTCAGGATGATTGCTTTTTCTAAGTAAGCAGGACATCTGGAACTTAAAGCAGAGCTGCAACCTTGAGCAGAATACCTCAGCCAGACAAAAATGTTAAATAATTAGCTCTGGAGCCATCATTGGGACAGTCCCCACTGTGCCATGGGGCTGTGCCTGGCAGCCACCACCTCCACCCAAAGCAATGGTGTAGCTCTGGAATATGGCTTTTCTCCATTTAAACAATCCTACTGACTTGGGATTTTCATCTTTTCTGCGTGTTGCTTTCTGTCCTCAGAGCTGGATGCATGTTAGTCTGAAAAGGCTAGCTGGCTCCTAGCGGGCACCCAGAGGTGACCCACCGCTGGCTGCTGAAGCCCTGAAATGCTTTGTCTACTAAAGGATCAGTTTTGGGACAGGTTCATTTGGTGATCAAGGTGGGAGCTTTGCCTACACAAGAATTAATTAAATCCCTGAGCAGGGAGAAGCTGCCAAATGATCACAAATGCCCATTGCCAGTGGCTTCCAGGAAAGGATGCAGCGTATGCTTCTGTGGTAACTTGGCTGCTTCACAGGCATGATTTTAGCCTCACTTTCCCATATAAATAGTAAACAGAAATAGAAATACACACAGGGTGCTTGTCGCTGCTGAGATGCTTGCTGTGGGTGTAGATCAGCCCCTGGCAGCCTTGTGCTGCAGTGCGTGGGTCTGCAGCAATGCACAGCCAACGAGCAGGCTTTCTGCACAAGGACAAATCTTGTTCTAGTGTCTCATAGGCACATTCATGTCACAAAGTGAGCACGAGGTGGATCAAAGTAAATTCCACCTTCCCCAGAGGAAGACAGTCAGGGCCCTTCTTGCAGGTTGCCTCTGAGCTATGGTGTGAATGCATCGAGTCTTCCAGGATGGATGTCCCATGGAGCCCTTCATAGTTCTGGGAATCCAGCTTGTGTCTCTTCAGATAACATTGGTGGGAAGCATGAGCTGCTTATGAGCTGCTCATCATATGCCACTGTGGGGAATTTTCCCTAAGAAAAGGGAATGTCAGCTTTCAGCTCGTCCCTTGGTATGTGGCCATACTGGTTACCTTGAATTTCTGCTGGTTTTTTTTGCTCTTGAATATGGAAGACCCTGAGGAGCAGCTGTATATATATGTGCTGTTGTTCCCCCTCTGCTTCAGCCCCAAACAAGGTCCTGTAGAACATCAGTGACCTTCAGTCCATCCATCACGTTCTGCACAGCGTCTTTCTGACCTGGGTGTGCTAAATGTGAAGTTGGAGATGCTTGTTGCCAAACACTGCAGCATAGAGTAGGTCCTCATGTCCAGGTACAACTGAGCAGATATGAGCCCTCTTTTTCCCCAAGTAAAAAACCAAACCAGTCTGTTTGCATCTCTCCCTCAACAGTGCTGCATAGACAACTATGAAGAGATTGTTAAGCTCCTCCTCAGCCATGGGGCCAATGTCAATGCCAAGGACAACGAGCTGTGGACTCCCCTGCATGCAGCAGCCACGTGTGGTCACATCAACCTGGTGAAGATCCTCATCCAGCAGTAGGTGGCTTGTTATGTCTGTCCCTTTTGGCAAGTCTGATTCCACCCACAGAAGCTGTGGGTGGAATCTGGGACTGTTTGGGACCTCTCGGAGGTGGTAATTGCCTGCTCCCAGGCTGTTGATGAGATCCCTTCCTCCATTGGGGAAGAGGAGGAGGAAGAGCAGGAGGGCTGAGGAAACACAGTAAAACCCCAGTTGGCCTGACTCAGTTTTGTGAAGCTTTTGGGACTGAACTGAAATTGGCCACATTTGGGGTAAAAAGGAAAAAGGACCTGGAATCTAAATGCAGGTGGATACTGTCCATTGTCTTTTTCCAGTGCTGGTAACTATCCAAATAGATCAGAGGTCAACTAAGGACCACTTCATAGACAATTAAAGTGGTTCAGAGGGTGCTGGAAGTTTTCTACCCTGTGGGGTAGAGTTGATACAGAGGCTCAGGGAATTGCTTTTGGAAAATCAGAAATATAAATCCTGGCACTGGGTGATTTTGCTATGTTTTTTTTTGTTTTTGCCAACATTGCTTTGGTTAGATGGAAGGCTCCCTCTGCCATTCAGCCCTCGTCTTTTACAGCTTCTCTGTTCCTTGTGAACTTTTCATTCAAGGACTGCCAGACGCCCAGGTAACAAGCACTTGGTAATTGCTTGATATGGTTGTCCAGAAACTCAGCAAATAAATCACTTCCGTCACTGAGAAGCTGATGGTGTGTTTGGTGTCAGGAGGAGAGTGAGGACCTGGAGCAGCTCAGTGCCTCATGTACCCCCAACCCATAAAGGAGGTGCTGCCTTTCATCCACGTTTGGAGTTTGTCTTCCCCATCCGTAGCTCCTTGGCTTTGTTTTAAATTTTTCTTCACTGACATAAAGGTTGGGGCCATTTGCGCAGCTAGCAAAAACCAGCCAGGGTTTAGTAAGTGTTTATCTCAGTGTTTGGCACTGCCAGCTCTTGGATGCCCTGGGTCGTTTCTGTTAACGCCTCTTTCCCCTCGCAGCGGAGCAGACCTGCTGGCAGTGAACGCGGATGGCAACATGCCCTATGACCTCTGTGAGGATGAGCCAACCCTGGATGTCATTGAGACGTGCATGGCCTATCAGGGTAAGGAGATTGAGAACGTGCAAAACACAGAAATGGGCTAATGTAGCACTAAAAATTACCTTCTCAGCTGATGTTTGGCCCCTCAAGAAAAGCAGAGAGCTGTGCCTGGCATAGATTTCTGGCACTTGCCTCTGTTTAGTTTCTCTGATTCCTAAATAATGACGATGGTGAAGTCCCTTCACCTCTGAAAAGGTCGTGAGGCCGTGCCAACCAGCCAGGAGTCATGAATACAGTTTTACTCAACCACTGGAGACAAAGACCCTTCCCAACTCTTTAACTGGAATTTTAACAGGAATTACACAGGAAAAAATCAATGAGATGCGGGCTGCCCCGGAGCAGGTCATGATCTGTGACATTCATGACATACTTGCGACTGGCCAGGACCTGAACAGGACTGATGCCCAAGGTGCCACACTGGTGAGTGAAACTGCATGGCTTCATCTCACCTTCCTGCAGCCTGCGGGCGATGAAACCTGCCTGTGGTAGGCAGTTGTACAGCAGCAACACAGACAGGTTGCTGAGAGGAGCAAGGAGGCTGTTTGGATTGTTCTCTGTGTTTTGGTATTGACATGTAGGATAAATGAGTACAGCTCATGAGCAGAGCCAACACAGCTTAGTGCCCATCCCTGCACTTTTTGGAACAAATTATCTATCGTTAGCTGTAAACAGGAAGGGGGATTGCTGTTTATGAGGATGGATAGTGATAGGACAAGGGAGAATGGTTTGAAACTGAGACGGGGAGGTTTAGGTTAGATATTAGGAGGAAGTTTTTCACACAGATGGTGGTGATGCACTGGAACAGGTTGCCCAAGGAGGCTGTGGATGCCCCATCCCTGCAGGCATTCAAGGCCAGGCTGGAGGTGGCTCTGGGCAGCCTGGTCTGCTGGTTGGTGACCCTGCACACAGCAGGGGGTTGAAACTGGATGATCACAGTGGTCCTTTTCAACCCAGGCCATTCTATGATTCTATGACCCAGTGCCATAAAATTTATGTAAAAATTAACTGAACAGTCAGAAAGCATTAGAATTTTTTTCCAGATGAGTGTTTAGCTTCCTGTGATGGAATCCATGTGGGAAAATCTTGAAAAGAAGCTTTTGTGCTCCTTGTCAGCACAGCTGAAAAAAAATGAGCTCTGAGTGGAGTTGGTGCCTTCAGAACAGTGCCCAGGTCAGTGCTACGCTCAGAAAGGCAGCAGCAGGCAGCAATTGTGAAAACCTTCAGAGGCACAAATGTTGTGGCAGAGTATGGGAGTCTATTATCAATCTCTCCAGAGCGACGGGTGTAGCTGAAGGCTGGGATCTGAAAAAGTCAGATTCCTTTAACTTAAAGTAGCCACAGATGTAAATGTTTCTGATTTTCAAATGGTGAAAGCAATCAGAAGAGATTGGAAGTGCACTCTCACAAAGGGAGCGCTGACTAAAGTAAGCTGGGCAGTTGGTCAGCAAATTGCATCTGCAGCCCTTGGTGGGGAAGAGATGTTTGCTGGCATGGGGAGTGCAGAATTCACAGCAGATGATGTTCCCCATTGCAAGTTTGCATTTTGATGGTGCTGTTTGCTTACAGACTGGGAAGCACTTAGGAGACCTTGATTTAAAATAGAAAACAGTATGCTTTTAACCCATGTGTGTAAGTGATCTTAAGCACTTGCCTTTCCAAGCAGAATTACATGCAGGTAGCACTAAGTTTCAGTCATGGCACCAAGGTGCTTTTGACCTGGTGGAAATGTATCTGCAAAATTTAAAATGTGCTGCCTGTGTGAATTTAGACTCAGATACAAAAATTCCACTGAAATTTGCTGTAAAAAAAACCCATTCATGATCCTTGCAGGTGGCTCATGCTCTCTTCCTTGTCTCCTAGCTGCACATAGCCGCAGCCAATGGTTATCTGCATGCAGCTGAAGTCCTTCTTGACCAGGGAGCAAGCCTGGATGTGAAGGACTGGGACGGCTGGGAACCTCTTCATGCTGCAGCATTCTGGGGACAGGTAAGGATTTTGATGCAAATGTCAGGTATGAGGGTGACATTGCTTTTTGCCTGGACAGACTGTGGAGCACTCTGCCAATGGGAGCAATCTGTGGTAGGACTGAGCTTGCTGCATGGTGGCAGATGATAGCCCTGGAGCTCCAGAAAAAACTTGTTGCTGAGAAAGGTTGGAGAGAGTATGTCTGTGTGGTTGAATGGAGGGAACTATGTTTAACATTGTATACATACCAGAATAATTTGAGGCTAGTTGAGCATGCAGACTATTGCCTCTTTTCAGTTTTGAGGCAGAAAACGATTGCCTGAAATACTTCTGTCAATTGGCTTTCTTTCCCTTCCTTTAGATGCAGATGGCTGAGTTACTCGTGTCCCATGGGGCTAGCCTAAGTGCCAGGACATCTTTGGATGAGATGCCAATAGGTGAGTTTACTAAGATTAAAAAAGCAGATCAGAGTTACTAAGAAAAGTGTTAAGAAGCTTTTTGCTTTAAGTTTAAGCGTCTTCAGATGGTGCTTTCAGAAGCATTAGTGTTTCATTTTTCAGATGTCTAGAATCAAAGCTGGAAGGAATTTAAGGGGACTGAAGTTTTAAAGAGCCTGATTCATTATTTCTGAAAATAGTTCCTCCTACTCATTAAAAAAAAAAAAAAAATTCTTGAGCTCTGACTTTTTTCTTTTTTGACTCATGTCATCCTACTATTCCTGTGCTTTGGAGTCTACCCACCCCTTCACTGTGGTCTTGGATGTGCCCCGCAGCAGCAGGGTTTGGAGTACTACTTCTGAAACTGTTGAGTGCGGCCCTCAGACTCACATGTCTCCAGCTCTGCCTTGATGCAATGAAGTGTGGCAACCTGTTGGGGCTGGAGAAGAAAAGCACACACAATTCCTGGAACAGATTGGAAGTAGAAGTGCCAAAGTGCTAGCACCTGGCCAGGTGTATTATAATCTTATGCTGTGTTTTCTTTTGCCAAAAGGTTTTCTGCATCTTAACTGAAAAATCCGTCTGTTCTCGTTTTGAAGGCTAGGAGTTCTTGTCTCCTACCCTGACCTCCTCTGCTTTTATCTATTCTCCTTAATTTTGGAGACTTAAGTAAAAAAGCTGCACTCAGGGGAGGTACGGTCTGATAATTAGGGAAATTTATTTTCCTTCCACTTGAAGCTTTGAGATACTGCTTGATGTCTCTTTCACCCATTCACGGAAAAGGCACAGCCACATCATAACCAGAGTTATGATGAAGCCAATCTGAATACCTGGATCGTTGCAAAGCTGAGCCACAGACCTCTTGCTTTCTGATTCCACTTAGGTGTCCAAACCATTGTGCCTACCACCGTTTGTTTGGAGACAAATGTTCCTAAGCATATTTTTTTGCTTAAATTTCCCTCCTTCCTCTGAGCATTTGGAGTTTTATTTACTAGGAAGGCATAATCATTAACATGGTGTTAACATGGTGGTTAACAGCACCACATTTGAATGCTCTAACTAATGGCTTGGTTTACATGTCCCTTAGATCTGTGTGAGGAAGAGGAATTCAAAGTATTACTTCTGGAGTTGAAACACAAGCACGATGTGATAATGAAGTCTCAGATGAGGCATAAATCCTCCCTGAGCCGAAGAACCTCCAGCACTGGCAGCCGGGGGTGAGTGGCCAAGATGTTATCTTCAGACACCGTTTGCAAATGTCTTTATAAGATGTTCTCTAGACATCAAAGCAGTCCTGCTGACCACAGAGCTCCCTAAACAGCCCCTGGGCCTTTGCCCTCTGTATCTACTCCACTGGTTGCATAGCAGATCCATTAGATGAGGTGTGTGAGATCACAGAATCATTAACGTTGGAGAAGACCACTGACATCACCAAGTCCAACCCCAACCCTCCCACCATGCACACTAACTCAGTGCCACATCTCCATGGTTCTTGAAAACCTCTCACTTTCTCTTTTCTTGAAAATCACCCACCTTTGCAGTATTACTTTAAAACTCTTTAAAATTCCTCCCACCTTTAATATCCACACAAGTGCCTTTGTCTGCTTTGCGTGGGTGCCCGGAAACTAAATTCACGTTACATTCCAGTGGGAGATGCTTGGAAGCATGAGGAGAGGCTGAGAAGAGCTACAGGGTGAGGAGAACTTGCATGCCCTGCTCACAACCCTGTGCTCCTTCCCCCTGCTCAACAGGAAAGTGGTGAGGAGGGCCAGCCTCTCCGACCGGACAAACCTCTACAGGAAAGAGTGCGAGAAAGAGGCCATCGTGTGGCAGCAGCTGGGGGCAGCAGAAGAAGGAAGGAACTCGGGTCTCATTGGAGAAATTGGGGAGACTCGGTCTGACCAGGAGAACACAGACCCTGTAAGGAATCTCTTCTGTCTTATGGAGTCACAGCAGAGGGCGGGTAACACTGCTCCTGGGATGGGAGGTGGCTGAAAAAAATTCCTAAGCCTCATCTGTCAGATTTAAGCAAAAGACCAAATTTAGTTTAAAATAGAATATCCTATTCCAGTGGAAAGGCTGCTCTGGATTTATGGTGGCATAGAGAAGTTTGGGATATGGCCCCAGTGAACTACAGTGTCCAGAAGAAACAAGTCTATTGTGACATATGCATTTCTCCTTAGAGTTAACAAACTGGTAATCACAGAAGAACTGCTATCTTGCTTTGCAGTTACTTGATTTTAGTTCAGTTATTATTGTGTTATATTAACATGTGTACCTCTCAGTCCATTTTTTTTTTTTGAGTCCTTTCATGCAGACATAGAATTAGAATCATAGAATTGTTTCAGTTGGAAGGAACATTTAAAGGCCGTCTAGTCCGGCCCCCCTGCAGTGAACAGGAACACCCACATCTCCATCAGTGCTCAGAGCCACCTCCCTTGGGCTTGGGTGTCTCCAGGGACAGGGCACCCACCATCTCTCTGGGTGCTTACTGCCCTCGTTGTAAGAAACTTTTCCTTATAACCCATCTAAATTTCCCCTCTTTAAGTTTGAAAGCACTTTTCCTTATCCTATCATAGCAGACCCTGCTAAAGAGTCTGTTCCCTTTCTTACAGCCCCACTTAGATACTGAAAAACCAGGATCAGGTCTCTCCAGAGCTGCCTTTTCATTTCTGTGTTCCTGGCTGAGGCTCCTGGCAGTTTAGAGTTGGTGGGTGAATTAGTAGTTTTGCTGCACTATCTCTGGATGAAAGAGTGAGTGTGAGCTGGCTTAGGAAGTTGTCACAGGGATGAGAACAGGGCAGATGCTCTTCTTTAATGTCTTCTTGTTGCAGAATTCACTGCTGGAGAGCTCTTCCCTCTTTCCGGAGTTAGCAAACAAAAGCACCCAGTGTGACTCTGAAATCCCCCTCCAGAATGGACTCATGGCCTCTGGCAGCACTTACCCATACACCTTCTCCAACGGGGATGTGTGGAGCATGCACGTCGACCCTGATGGTAACCCAGGCCACGTGCTGCCCTATGGCAGCCCCGCGCTCCCCGACGCGCAGCAGTTTTGGGGTGCCTACAAGGAGCAGGGCCACCAGACACTCTCTGAACTGAAGCGGCAGCGGGCTGCAGCCAAGCTCCTCAACCACCCCTTCCTCAGCACTCACTTTGGCAGTGGTGTGGGGGGAGTCGCCGAGAACGGGGGCGAGGCCAAGTCGCACCTAATTGCATCCAGGACTTCTCCCTACAGCTCCAATGGGACCTCAGTGTATTACACAGTGTCCAGTGGGGAGCCGCCCCTCTTGAAATTCAAAGCTCCCATGGAGGAAATGGAAGAGAAGGTGCATGGATGCTGCAGGATTTCCTAGTTCCAGCTGTTACTCGCCTCGGAGGAAACAAGAAGGGAGTGGGCTGGTAGGATCTATCGCCACGGCCAGGGTGTTTGCATTCCAAGGGGAGAATCTGGTTATGGACATCCTGACTGAGGCAGTTTCCTTCATCTTGATTTGTACTTTACCCTGCTAGTTACTTCCATTGAAGTCAAATGAGTAATGCAGGTGGAGCAAGGCTCTCAGGAGAGGAAGGGATACGCATCAATATGATATACAAAAAAAAAAAAAAAAGATGCCTACATCTTTCTCCCTGGGTAAGAAGGTGTGGTGCACTGTCTCCCCATCGTTGGGAAGTCAGGGGATGGCTTGGAAATAAGTGATCTGAATTAAAATCTTTGTGTCTGACCTCTTGCTGCTGCAAGTAACCAAGCTTCCTGAGGGTAACAGTTCAGACCTGAATTTTCACTCTTAAGTGATGCACGTTTCCTGCAGGGGGGAGGTCAGCCCTTCGGGAGGTTTGCAAGTGGACAGAGCTGTTTTCTGTGCATCTGGATCCTGCATCTACAGGGGCTGAGCAACGAGCAAGTGTAGACAGTACATGTAGATACTACACTTGCTATAGGAAGTCTGCAAGGTGTCTCCTTGCAGTGACAGCTCACCATCAGAAACTGCACACTGGCTGGGTCCTGTTCTGCCCATCGAAACTCACGCTGCAGACTGCATCAGGTTCAAAGCAGAACTCTTCCTGGAACAGGCATCACTCAGCAGGCTTTACAACTGACGTTGCAATAAGGGGCCCTGGCAATAGAATTTTACTGCAATAAAATACTGACAAAGGTCTATGTTGGGATAAATAATTTAAAACACTTATTTGTACTATTTAGACTTCAATTTGTTTAAAACTGAAAGGACTTTTGCTGATCTCACTTTCCTATTGATTGTTTGTTTACTCTGTATGCTCAGCACAGATACTTGGGGCGTTGTGCTTTGTGTTCTGACTTTTCTGGATTTCCAGAACCACAGGGCTTGGGAGGGGCGAAGAGGAAGGGCTTGCCTACACTAATCCAGAAAAGCTTGAAAGCATTTCTAATCTCTGTAGGTGTTACCTTGTGTTAACCTGAAGTCTTTGGCTGATGAGTAACTTAAATGATTGCTTTGGTAGTTGAACATTGCAGCGGGACAGGAAACTTTTTTGCCTTTATTTCTAGCTTCCATGCTGAAGTCATCAACATCCATCAGAACAAGGCTTGAGTGCCTCTGTGTGTCAGGGAGTCAGCGTGCAGCACTTAGTGAAGACTCTGCTGCAGGGAGGTGGGCACACCAACACTGGTGCTTGAATGCAGTTCATGTTAATTCAGACATAAATGAGAAACTCGTGTACGGTATAATGTGCAGTTTTGGTATTGGCTTTTCCAGCAAGTGGAAGTTTCAGCATACCTTGTGGGGGTGAAGGAAAAATGGCCACAGTTGAACCAACGAGTTCCATCCACAGGAACAGTTGTTTGTAAACATTCAACCCTCTTTCTGCACAGAGGAACTATTGCACGCATCAGTGTTTGCCTGCATTGAGTTGTTTGGGCAGCTGAAATCCCGGGTTGAGAGCAGCCTGTCTGGGTCTCTGTAAGCCAGCAGTGCAGAGATGCTGTTGTGCTTCAGTTAAGCAACAGAAAATGCAGTTTCCACCCATCAGCCTTTTAGCTGCAGTTGTTAGACATCAGTGTAACATTCCTCCCCTCCACAGCTTTAGGAGCAAACTGGAAAATTGCAGCAGTTGGTCTGATTTTTTTTTAACTTTCATTCAGTTAAAGGCAAAGGGGTTCTTTTTATGTTTGTGTGTGTTTGAAACAGAGAAGTTGGGCTTTTTCTAACACAGCACCAGGCAGCTTGCACTGCTGAGCTCCTCTGTAACTGAAACACATCAATATAAGACCAGAAAATACTTCTTGTGCTTAACTGCAAGGGAAATTAAAAGCCACTCTCTGGTAGAAAGAGGGTAGTTTGGAAACTGGGCAGGCTTTTCAGCATCTGTGTTTCATTAACAGTGGGTCTTCTGATCAGCTCTGAGATGGTATCAAGTGTAGCTGCGTGTCACTGTGGGGGGGAAGATGATCTTTCAGGTGCCTCTGCTCTCGCATGGTGCTGGGGATTGTCTCCTCACATCCATCTTCCTGAGAATGCTGGACTCAGTGTACAAATTTTTGGTGCTGCCACTCCTAGGTGCAAAATACATGGTGCAAATTTAGCCCAGCTGATGCCTTCCTTTGTTGTTGGGCCATTTTCCTTCTCAGAGCAGTTTTATACTATTGAGTGCATTGAATCCTCTGTAACTCCATGCAAGTGAAAAGGAGGCACTTGAATGCAACAGTGCAAAGTAGTTTGAGGTTTGCTTTCTCTGGGAGCTGCTGATAGATTAAAGCTGTAGGAAGCCAGTCCATTTTAGACCAATAGATTTTAGTTAATTGCTATTTCACTTTGTTTCTATGTGAAACCCTGGGAATTCTTAATTCTAACTGTGATCTTGAGCAAACTAGCAATTGATTTAGTGTCAGGAGAAAGATGCTACAAGTTCTAGATTATTCATCATCCCCTTAATTGGTCTTTGTGTTGTAATTGTAAAATTGGCCGTAATTAACTCTTCCAGCATTACCACTGCAAGGTAACATGCTCACTGAAGTCTGGTGCTGTCTGGTTGGATGGAATCAATTCTCATTTAGATGGCACAGTCAGTAATAGAGAAATGCTCCAGGATTTGTTTCTTACCCACGTCTTTATCTCCCTCTGGCTTTGGGCTGAAGTTGCATCAGGGTGAGACTTGAGAGGACTGTGGAACAGTGACCTAAGGTAGATAAGCACCTTTGTGTCAGTGACATTCTGGATGTAACAGTCAGTGCCTGCGGAGCACTGGCAGATAAGCTCAGGGAAGGCTGACAGTTCTGCCTGCAGAGCTGCTGGTTGTAGGTCTGGGATGAGTGATTCTGTAAAACGGGTATTCAGCCTGCTTCTGGCCCCGTGTTTTGGAGAGGCTGACTCTGGGGGGGATTAATAAACGCGCAGGAGTTCTTATATGTGCATTAGAGGGGCTTACCTCTAGGAGCAGGGCTCTTAATTGTAAAACTTAGCAGTGTTGTAATAGTAGTGCTTTCTATATCTGTGTTTGAATAAAGGCTATCCTAGTGGAATGGTCCGAAGTACATAGCAGAAGGCGCCTCGGCTAATTCACTAGATCTTCGTTTTGCTAAAAAGCCGTGGACGCTATGGATTGTGTTGATGGGCATATCAAGCACTTGGCTTATGAGAGGAAGAGGGGTTTTACACTATAATCAGTGACTCTAGGTTCAGTAATGCTCTAAATACAGATTCAAGGTCAGATCAGTCACACTTTCATTAGCAGTAGCCTAAGGTTGTGGTTCCTGAAGGCCACGCAAAGATCTGAGGAGTGCAGTGCTGGCCTGCTGTAGGTGGAGCTGCATGTGGGAATGACCTCCCTACTTGCAGAATCTTCCTTGCTTTCTATGTCAAAAAACTTGACTTAACTGCAAAAAAAAGTCTCTCTCAAAATAGCATCTCTGTTTTACTGAGCTCAACCAAGGAAGTCCCAGCAATGAAATGTCAGATAAGGGCTTAAGCACTATGGCTGGGATCTGTGTGACTTCAGGCCTGGATCTATGCTTGGCATTCCCAGTGATGTGATTTTAGCTCAGTGTCATTTCTGTGGTGCTCTGGAATCCTACAAGCCCCTGTTCATCCAGGAAAGGACTCCAGCTGTTGTGATGCTGTAGCAGGTGTGGCTGGGCACCAGAGGCTGAGGAACTCCTGGTAGGGAAGGAGCAGAGCATGGCAGGGCAGTGGCAATAAGGAATCGGTGCAATCTATGGCAGAGGCAATTAATTCTCTGGTGCACTGAGCAAGGCCTTATTTCATGGGGTTGCAGATGAAAGCACTTATGATCTCCCAGCTGGCTTTACAACTTTTGTTCGGTGTGCTTTTAGTTTAATCTTGGACCTCTGGTTCCCCAAATGTTGCACACTGAAAAACAGCTGGCAGTACCCTGACATAAGAATAACTTAACTGAGAAAGCAACAGCATTGGTCTGTGGTGAGCCATGGATTAACTGTTGTGCATCTGCTGGAAGGTGTTCGCCCTGTGTCTGGGTATTTCTGTGCCTTATATTTGCTAAAATTACTCTGTTGTTGGTCTCTGGAATGCTTGCAGTGATCGTGCGGTGCTTTTTGCTATTGCAAGGGAAAGCAATTCAGAGCCAGATATTGAAACTTTTGTTTATTTGTTTCTCCCACGATCACTGTTTCTCTTCCCAATACCCAGAATGAAAACGATCAGGATAATCATCAAATCTTTTTGACCTCTTTCGGTATAGCAGCTCTCCCCAGGCAGAATCCATGCTGTTAATATCCGGAGTTTCGTTTTCTTTGTCTGTGGCCGTACAACAGAACTGGTTGTTCTTTGGCTGTGTTCATCCTGCCCAAGCAGGCACTGGGCTGCAGTCCCCCCGCATCATCCGGGTACCGCTGGGCTCTTCAGGCAACGTCTGACCAGGAACATCGCGCTGCATTCCAGCTGCGGTAGAGGAGACAACGCTCGAGGAGCGTGTTCTGACCTCACCAACACACTGACCTCCACCGGGAGAGAGATACGGGTTTTACAGCAGTGCAAAAGCAGCCTTGGCACTGCAGCACCTTCTGCAATAAGCCTCACCCCATCCACCCGCTGCGGAGCGTACAGACCCAGCCGGCCAGGTGTATTTTATGTGAGAAAAAGAACGTGAGGACTGTATATTGTATTAGCAGCTTTGTGTATAAAATGGCATTTTGGCAATCAGAGTCTAATATATTTAAAACTTTTTTTTTTTTTTAAGGATATTTGATATTGTATGGAGCTGACTTTATTGTTACTGTAAGTATGAAGAGATGGTTTCTTAACGTGTTGAAGCAACGCATAAAATCTTAAATTTTATGTAAAACTCATGCCAAAAGGGTATGTCTGACAGTATTAGCACCTGACCTGCGTCTTTAATAGAGAGATTGAATTTTTTAATTTAAAAACATATATATATTAAATTTCTTTTAATAACACAGAAAGTGCCGCTGGTTTTTGTGGGCTTCGCACCTGAGGGCTGTGACGAATGAGGGGCGGGGCGGGCAGCCAATGGCGGCGGGGCGGGGCTGGACGGGAGGAGCAGCCAAAGGCGGCGGGGCGGGGCAGGCAGCCAATGGCGGCGGAGCGGGGCGGGGCGAGCAGCCAATGGCGGCGGGGGGCGGAGCTCGGCTCCCCCAGTGGCGGCGTTGCGCGGCGCCGTTTGGATTCAAAGGCGCTATAAAGGCGCCGTAACGGCGCTGCCCGCGGCCGCCTGCCCTCCGCGCCATGGCCGCGAACGCGTCGCAGTGCCTGGAGGAGGGCGCCGGGCAATGGCCGCCGCGCCCGCCCGGGCCGTACAGCGAGGCGCGGCGGCTGGCGCTGGAGGAGCTGGTGGCGGGCGGCCCCGAGGCGCTGCGCGCCTTCCTGCGGCGGGAGCGGCTGCCGCCCTTCCTGTCGGAGCCCGAGGTGCAGGCCATCGCGCGGGGCGCCGTGCCGCCCAACGCGGCCGAGGAGGCGGCGGCCGAGGCGTCGCTGGACGCGTCGTCGCTCACCTACTTCCCCGAGCGCTCGGACGCGGAGCCGCCGGCGCTGGAGCTGGGCTGGCCGGGCTTCGGCAGCGGCGCGTTCCGCGGGCTGACGCGGGTGGAGGCGCACTTCCAGCCGGGCGGCGGGGACAGCCCGTACGGCTGCAAGGAGGCGGTGCGCCGGCAGATCCGCTCCGCGCGGCAGGTGGGTGCCCCGTGGGACCGCTGCCCGCGTTCGAGCCGCTGGAGGCCGGGTGCGTGGCTCTGCGAGCCGGGCCCGCTCGTAGGCGCCTCCTCCCGGCTCGCGGAAGCTTTTCTCGTGCCCTTCCCCACCGGAAGGTCGCTTCGTGCCGAGGCAGCGCTGTGCCCGCGCTCTCCTCTCTTCCCAGCCGGCCCGCAGCGCGGTGCGGAGCCGCTCCTGGCCGCGCTCCGTGCGGTGGCAGCACGCGGCTCTGGGCCGATGCGGAGCGCGGTCCGAACGCCCCGCTGAGCCGTAACCGTTCTGTGACTGGTTGCCTTAATTGAGCGCACCCCTGTAACGGCGGTGCCCAGCAGGAGCTCCTTTCCCACCGGCCGCAGTCCCGTCGGCTCCGCTGAATTTGAAAAGCGCGGCTCCCTGCTGGGCGGGGCGGCCCCGGCCCGGCGCTCCCGTGCGGCGCCGAGATGAGGTGTCAGCGAGTGAGGATGGCACGGGCTTTGCTCGGGGGCTGTTGTGCAGGATGAGCCGCTCCGAAGGTTTCTGGTGATTCATCCAATTGCACCATCGAACGGCTGTGTTTCCCAAGAGCTGTTCTTTGTTATGCTCTTTACACCACGGCAGCAGCCAGACGTGCTGCTCTACTCGCTGCCAGGTGCTGGTCTGGGAAGTGCTTTTGTGGGTGAAGAACAGAGAGACCCCTGCAAATTAATGACTGATGTGCTGTTTGGTCATGTCTGCATCCTCAGGGTTAACGTGGGAAGTAGGAAAGCTTCAGACACTGCTGAGTTGCCTGTCAGCTTGAGGGACTGACCTCTGGTGACCAGCTGAGGGGAGGCATGGAGCTGTGACAGCGGAGATATCAGGGAAAGGCTCTGCCCCAGAATGCAGGGGGCATGGCCCCGAGCTGCTGGAGCTCAGGGGGTGTTGGGACATCGCTTTCAGCCATAGGATTTGGGCTGGGGTGCTGCTATGTGGAGCAGGGGGTTGGGCTCTTTGTTTCTGAGGATCCCTTCCAGCTTAGGATGCTCTATGACTGAGGTGGGTGCAGTTGCTGCCTTACCTCTACATCTGGAAGAGCCCAGCACAGAGAAGAGTTTTCTCTATCTGCTATAACTATTTTGTTTAGTTTGAGTACAGCTTTTCTATCTTTTTCAGCTGCTAATACTGGGATTAGAGCTCATGTGCTGTGAACTGAGCTGCCATTTGAAGGCAACAGTATTTCCAAGGAATTGTGTTCCTACTGTTCTGTTTTCAGGGGTTAATTTCTTATTCACCTCATCAACAGTGCCTTAATTTTCGCCATCTTGCTCTGGCACTTAGAGAAGTGGCAGAGTGAGAAGACAAGAGGCACTACATGAGGAACATAAGCTAGCTTCATCCAGAAATGCAGCCTGCCTGTGTTTTATAACTAAGAAATTGCCTGTTTAGAGCCAACCCCCTAAGGAGCAGGGCTCAGGTGGGAATGCAGAGCTGAGTCTGTTCTTGTGGGAAATGTTTCCTCTGAGCACCAGCAGTGCCACACACAGAGCAGCTGTGCTGTGTGCCCAGGCCTCAGTGTGCAGCAGGAGCTGTGTGCCAGGAGAGCTGATATGGGCAGGTAAGTGCAACAGCTCTTGTTGCACATCTGGTGGGACAACAGTAAGTCATGAAGCCAAAGCTTGGTGTCTGCACCCACGCAGCTGTGTGTTCCCAGGTTTAAAGGGCTGGGATTCTGGGAAATGCTGTGTGGTGTTGCTCTGAATGGAGAGACTGTTTACAAATGTAAGAATGTTTCATCTGTGGCCCACTGAATCTTTCCATCTTTGGACTTGTCTGTTCAAAAGAGCTCTCATGGCAAATTTGCATCTGGTTGTGAGTTTTTTTTTTTTGTGAAGGTGTTGGATGGAAACCCAGAATGTGCTCTTCCCAGGATCTTAGGAGAAGTATTCAGTTGACTGTTGTCTTGGTCATTTGTATAGGACAGTGCAGCCTTTGTATCACGTGGTCTGAGGAGAAAACAGGGGATGTTTGTAGATGTTCAGCTTTGCAGGAGGCCATCTGAGCCATTTCTGTCCTGTGTAAATTAAAACTCTTCAACTCTTGCTGCCTCTCTTTACAGGTGATTGCCCTTGTTATGGATTCCTTCACAGATATTGATATCTTCAGTGACCTTCAGAATGCCTACAGCAAGCGCCAGGTCCCTGTCTATATCCTTCTTGACCAGGACTTTCTACCCTATTTCTTGGAAATGTGCAAAAACTTGGGTGTCTGTCCTGAGAAGGAAAGTGTAAGTACTAAACATGGTGGAGTGGAAGTGTTTTGTTTTTCCTTCCTGTGGTACTGCTTTGGTTTTGTACATCAGAGACACCTTTCTGCAAATCATCAGATTTCCCTAAAAGTCTAAAGCACCATGTCTGTTTGGAAACTGAAATAAGAGGGTGCTGAAGGTTGTGGGCCATTTTGGATGGTTTCAGTATGGTCTCTAACCAAAGGGGTGAAATTTAATCAGAAACCATGCAGAAAAGACACGCTTACCTTCACACTTCCTTCTACCTCACATGTCTGCATGTAGGAATGACAGCCATGCTGTGCAGCTCCCCAGCGTGCTGGGTGGATCCCTGTGATCCCTGCTGGAGAAGTGGCTATTTCTAAACATTTAATTTTGCAAGATCTAAGTAGCTTTATTCTGTGGCTCGAGGAACTGCTTGCCAAGGCAAATAACTCTAAGGAAAGCAAACAGGAAGCTTGAGGGTGGTGTGGCATTGGGAACATCTTTTATCTTCAGGATTTGGAGGATGTGACCCAGGTAGCTTGCTTGATTCCTCTGAATATAAGCTGACATGATTGTGTTATGTCCTGGCTTATGTTGACCCAAGTGAGTGCTTCTCTGGATGGGAGGCACTCCTAGCTCTGTGGGCAGTAATTAGTTGGTGCTCCCCATTCTTTCCAGATTAACTCTCTACAGCCTTTTATGATCTAACAGAAAGTTAGCACTACAGAACCAGTAAGACTTTAGTTGCAGGACAATTTGAGGAAGGTTGTTTCATTCCTATGTTCCACAATTAATCTCGTTGCTTTTATGCAGAATTAATGATCAAAACTTTTTGGAAGTAAACTTAAATTTGATGCTAGTTTTTTCCCTTTTTTTCCTGAAACAGTTGATGAGGGTTCGAACTCTCACTGGGAACATCTACTACACGAGATCAGGTGCCAAAATTATTGGGAAAGTCCATGAAAAATTCATGTTGATTGATGGCATTAGAGTGACAACAGGCTCCTACAGGCAAGTACTGGAATCCATTAGTGTATAATTATGCTAAAAAAAAAAAAAAAAGCAGGGGGGTGTTCTGTAAGAAGGTTCTGTTAAATCTCCTGTTTGTTGTTACTAATAAATATCAAGTGGGACTAATACAGAACAGAAGGCACCTTTGGAAGACTTGTTTTGCATGTCTTGGCATTAGCAAAGAACCTGGCTGTGGCTGGGTAGGGATTCTCCTGAAGGAGTGAGTGAATGGTTGATCAGATCTATGCCTTCCTTATGCACAACACTTCTAGGCTAAGTCTTGCTGTCTGTTATTATGTGTTGAAGTGCACTGGAGTTTAATTGTGAATCTTGGTTTGTTTTCAACAGTTTCACGTGGACTGATGGGAAGCTGAACAGCAGTAACTTGCTGCTACTGTCAGGTCAAGTGGTTGAACACTTTGACCTGCAGTTTCGAATTCTTTATGCCCAGTCAAACCCTATCAATCCTGAATGCCAATCAAGTAGGAACAGTGGTATATTTGATCATCTGGAGAAAAGAATAGAGTCCTCTAAAGAATACACTGTGGAGAGCAATTTGAGGGCAGAATTTGCCAGGTTGTCTAGTACTCCAAAAAAACTGTTAAAAGAACTAGATGTGGCTGAAGATACTCCAGGAGGCAAAGCTTGTGACCTGGGACATTCTCACTTGAGTGAAGAGGAGTGGCTCAGCGATCCAGAGGCCATAGTGGGACAAAAGAATGCATCGACTCAAACTGGTTTATGGGAAGAGCAGCCTGCAGTGGCCGTGTGTAATGTTGGCATGCAGACCAATGTTTTAACAGAAGAAGCTGACGCTCAAACTTCAATTGCCACAAGAACGACTGGGACTCAGACTTCAGTTTTGCTGAAGGCTGCAGTGACGCAGACAAGGGAAGATGAGTACGTGGAAACCCCCCTGCTTTACAGGAAGTTTTCCAAAGAAGAACCCTTTCTACCTGGAAAGTCTTCATCAAATTCTAGTCTGCGATCACTATCTTCATCATCATCCCACATGTCTCGCACGAGCTCTACCAGCTCACTGACTTCTCTTCGGTCCTTTGAATACCCTAGCATTCACAGGGCAGAGTATTTCCAAAAACTGCATAAGGAGAGGCAATTCCACTACTCCACCATCAGATCAAAGCTTAGCCACATGGTGGATATCTTGTCCTGGAGAAGACATGTTCCTGAAAGCTACATGAACCACTACAGGGGAAGGTACAACCTGAAGTAGAGGTGAGACATCAGTGCCAGCCTGCACAGCCTCTGAGATGTTTCACTCTTCTCTGAATAAATGACTGCTGCACTGAATGCAGAGCTCGAAAGCTCTGGTCACAAAATGCAAAATCACTTTATATCTGCTGATTCTTCTGATTCCTTCTAGTACTTTTACTCTTCTTTAATACATGCACGCATCACTTTCCAGCACTTTGTTTTCTACTATGCAATTTAATCAGTGCGGTTTTTCACATGTACTGTAACCACTTGCATGTTTCCCTTATACACATTAGTGGTATAGGTTTATTGTACTTCTGAATATTTGACTTAGAAAGCATTTAAGTTTTGTTTTTAGGATTGCTAATGCTCTGGCTTTAAGTTCTCTAACTTGGAAAAATTTGAGTCAGACAGATCCTGCTCAGAACGGTAATACCAACATTTATTTCCCCTTTTTAATAATGGGTTTTATTTCCACTACATGCTCAGAATGAGGGAAAATAACTTCATTCTCACTCCAGTGGAAGAGCAAAATGTGTGTACCTCTGAAGCTGTGAAAGGTCTGTTGGAACAGTTGTGGGTTCTGATCTAACCAGCTCTTCAGTTTGATTGTCCTTTTATGCTTTTACATAGGTATATGTAAACATGTGTGTAACAACGATAACATAACTGTTATCAACAGTTTTTCTCTTAAACCAAAAGATAGTTTCATATCAGATGCTAAGAAGAAAATGAACTGTCTCAGCGGGAACTGGGACGTGTGTCTTAGTTCTGGTAGGAGACCTGTAAGTGCCTGCCTTCCTTGGAGTCAGGCTGGAGGTGAGATGATCCCCGAGGACACATGGCAAAGTCTCTGCTCAAATAAAGTACAAAAATATTATACGCTGTTTGCCATGGTTATTTTGCAAATAATTATTTCTTTCTCTTTAAACTGTGCTTTCAGAATTATTCTGTATTTCCTGCTCTGTCTGTATTTTATCCACTGATAATCTGGTTTGGGGAACCTGAGAGCCATGTGAGTTTATGAAAATACCTTCAGCACTCCACAGGCTGCGGGTTAACTCGCTTTGCAGAGACACTGCCTGAATGTCTGCAGCAGGTGTGTGTGTGTTTGATGGATCACCTCTCTGAGGTCTGACCTGTGCTGCTCTTCTGTAGACCTGTACACCACTACGTTGGTGACTAACCAGACTGAATTCTGCAGTGAAACCAGTCTGGATGAGGTATTTCCTCCTCATTGATGGGTGCATCTGTCCAGTAGATGGCACGTTTCAGCTGTCAGATTCATTTCCCTAAGGAGAAATGAATGACCGGGAAAACACCCAAAACAGCCGGGCTGCGATGGAAGTGGAGGCAGACACGTTTTATCCTATCAGCCATTTCCATTTTTGCAGTGTGCTGGTGGAGGCCCGGCTGCTGCTGCAGGCTGTTCGATCATCCACTCCTTTCCCCACCCTGGGGCGGCAGTAAGCAGTGCTCGGAGCCGCTCTGATGGGGTTTTGTGTTTAAGAGCTGGCGTTGGGCGGTGTTTGAATGCCTGTAAAATGAACTCGAAAACCTTTGCGTATTTCTCAACTTTGTTGCACTGTAGGATTGTTCTGGCACTTATAGGGCGATACGCTGTTTACAAATAAATTCACTTTGCCGGGAGGCTCCGAAGCTTTCTGAGTCGTCTTTTATTCGCGTGGCACCGGGCACCTCAACGCCCCGCGTCGCAGCCCGCAGCTCTCGCCGTTCGATTCCCGGTTTGCTCCCAGAGCAGCGCTGCAGGGGGGGGCGGCCGGCGGCGGTGCGAGGGCGCGGGGCCGGGCGGGAGGCGGGGAGCGGCCGCCCGCTATAAAGGCGCCGTAACGGCGCTGCCCGCGGCCGCCTGCCCTCCGCGCCATGGCCGCGAACGCGTCGCAGTGCCTGGAGGAGGGCGCCGGGCAATGGCCGCCGCGCCCGCCCGGGCCGTACAGCGAGGCGCGGCGGCTGGCGCTGGAGGAGCTGGTGGCGGGCGGCCCCGAGGCGCTGCGCGCCTTCCTGCGGCGGGAGCGGCTGCCGCCCTTCCTGTCGGAGCCCGAGGTGCAGGCCATCGCGCGGGGCGCCGTGCCGCCCAACGCGGCCGAGGAGGCGGCGGCCGAGGCGTCGCTGGACGCGTCGTCGCTCACCTACTTCCCCGAGCGCTCGGACGCGGAGCCGCCGGCGCTGGAGCTGGGCTGGCCGGGCTTCGGCAGCGGCGCGTTCCGCGGGCTGACGCGGGTGGAGGCGCACTTCCAGCCGGGCGGCGGGGACAGCCCGTACGGCTGCAAGGAGGCGGTGCGCCGGCAGATCCGCTCCGCGCGGCAGGTGGGTGCCCCGTGCATCGGCGGATCCCCGCCGTCAGCGCTCCGTGCCCGCCGCAGCCTCCCGAGTGCTGCAGGGGTGGGGGGAGAAGTCAGAGGTCTCAGATTTGTGTCGCTGTGCCCTGAAGGTGAAGCTGTGTGATAAAGAGCGCCGATTCTGGATGTGGATAAAGGCGCTCTGCGATAGGCTTCCAGGTGTGCTGCTTGCGCCCAGTGCGCGCACAGCCACGTCCAGGCAATGAGCTTCGTAGTGCTCCGCTGAAATAGTGAAAGAAAATCCCACAAGGGGATGATAAAAAATCCTAAGTGGTGTCATCTGCTATAAATAAAACAAGCAGCAGCAAAATAGGGACAAACAGCAGTGGGTTCTGTCCGTGATAAGTTCAGGGTATGTTTTTCCTCATTTAACAACACAGGGATGTGAAAAAGTGATGGTAGCAGCAAGCGATGTGTGTTGGTGAACTGTAGGCTGTAATCATCTGTATCAATATGCGATTCTCATCCGAGATCTTTAGTCCATTCACAGTTATTGTTCCTTTCTCTTCACTCCCTTACATGTCTTTTAAATGTTCCGTCGGTTCTCTGAACAACAGGAGAATGCATTGCAGAGGACTGTGCTGTGTGCAGTGACCAGGAGGGTAAAAAGGGCTGTGGGGGGGATGGAGAAATACTTAAATTGAAAGTCAAATTCCTCTTATCTCCTTTGGGATACTGTGGAAACAGCCTAATGATTTCTTCTGAACCTTGTTGCAGATGATTGCCCTGGTTATGGATTCCTTCACAGACACCGATATCTTCACAGACCTCTTGGAAGCTTGTAGCCAGCGACAAGTCAAAGCATATATCCTTCTAGACCAGTCTTCATTTTCCCACTTTCTGCAAATGTGCAGGGATCTAGGAGTTGATCTGGAGCAGGAGAAGGTAAGCCTGTAATATTTGTAGGGACAGAAGTACTGTTTGAGAAAATGAAGGGGGAATGTCCAGTATGTAAAAGGGAACGTGGAATTGCTCAGGCTTGCTGAGACTGCAAAGGCTGATGGAAAACACGTTCCCAAGATTCTCTGGAGTTTGAGTCCCTCTGAGATAAGACAGCAGTTTTAACAGCCTCATTCTGTACCATCAGCGTATAGATCTGCCCCTTTGTGCATTTTGTCTTTGTGGGCTAAGCCAATACAAAACTGTTTCTAGATGGTGAATCCTGTGCCACTGCTCAGCAACCTTTGCTAGTTCATCAGTGATCTTTATTGTCATGTGTTACTTCTTTAAATGTATTACAATCATTTAACTTTGAAATTCACTTATTACTTTCTGTATCTTTTTAACAGTTGATGAGAGTTCGAAATATCACTGGGAACACATACTACACAAGGTCAGGTGCCAAAATTGTTGGAAAAGTCCGTGAAAAGTTCATGCTCATTGATGGCATTAGAGTGACAACAGGTTCCTATAGGCAAGTGTTGTTTTTTTTTCTTTATATTATTTCTTTAAACAGGAAATAGTAGTAACATTAAATCATTTTCCTTTCTAGCACGTTGCTTGTAGTATTTGGCCTTAAAATAAGGCACACCACCATGAGAATTTTCAGTCAGTGCTTGGATATCTATTATTACTTTGAATTAACTTGGAACTTTCTCCTTCTTTTGCTAGTTTTACGTGGATGGATGGGAAGCTGAACAGCAGTAACATTTTGATCCTGTCGGGTCCTGCAGTTGCACACTTTGACCAGGAATTTCGGACTCTTTATGCACACTCAAAGCCTGTCAACCTCAAAGAGTTCTCCAGCAGCAAGAAGGATAAGGTGTTTGATGAGCTGGTCAGAATTACAGTGGCTTCTAGAGACTTAACCAGGGAAAACTTTCTGAGAATGGAGTTTTTATATCTTAGAGCATTTGTAGGAAATCTAAAAAGGAAGCGAAACTGGATGCATGCCTCAAGGGAAGCAGTCTATGTTTCAAGTAATGCAATGCATGTTTCTCCACCACTGACTAAGAGGAATGGCTCTCTAGTTATGAGGCCACACTGGATCATAGAGAGATGAATTGCACGTTCACTCAGAGCAAGATGCAAAACCTCAGAAGCCATGTCCTGTGGTCCATGTCCTGTACTGCCTTACAGTATGTCTGTGCAAGCAGCTGGGAAGGCAACCTCAAGCTGAGAGAAAGAAATACTGGAATTGTGAGTTCAGTTGAACACCTCTGCAATGTCAGTCAGCAGATACAATTATGGTATTGTCCTACATGCAGAAGTGCTTTTGAAAAACAAAAGAAAACTCTTTAATACCTGAGAAGCCATTACTGATTTCTGGTGTTCTGTCAGTTTCTCATTTTTCAACCTATTTTTGATTGTTTAAACGTAATGGGTTGGTGACGTCTTAGTTCGGTAGCTCAAACCTCATTTTCTATATGTAGATTCCTTAAAAAATACATTCCTTAAGATTCTAAAGATGAGTAGCAGGACTGCTGCATGGCTCTGAAATCAGTCAAAGCTTAGTCTTGTGTTCCACAAACAGTTCTATGATGCAGAACTGGATGGGAGTAGCCATAAGCTAGAAGCTAGGTCAGTACCTGGCTTTTAGTGCTGTTTACATGAAGCTGAGCAGCTAGGCAGAACAATTTAATGTATCAGATTAACATTTTTGCCATGATTTAATTTCAAATAATCTTTTCTTTTTAGTGATAAGAACACTTGGATTGTGACCATCACAATAAACACATCCTAAATGCCTGCAGTCAAGGGGCTACATGACTAAGGACCTACTAATATTAGTTGCAAAGCCAAATAAGACTTTTTTTTTTTTTTTCTGCATTACATACTTTACAATTCTTTTTTTTTTTTTTTTTTTTTTCTGCATTACATACTTTACAATTGCTACTGCTGCCTGATCTTATAGGAAAAGCTGAGTAGATCTGAAATCTGTGAAGATGCTTCTAATTTAAAAAGCTTTCACCTGACAGGCAACCTTATGGAAGTCAGAAATAGAGCCATTTCTTCTACTTGTTCTTAAGGCTCTGCTGCAGCAGAAATCTTAGCAATATGTGTGCTTGTGGATTCTGGGCCTCCAAGGGGAATCTGTAAACTTAGCTGGGGAAGTTCGTGTGGATCTAACCACCAGTGGGACAGTATCAAACTGGACATGTGGATCTTACAGAAATGGTATTTCCTGCCAGTGCATCGTGCCAATGTACTCATTTGGATACAGCTAATGGCTGTCCTTTTTCTTCTCTGCTTACAAACGTGCCAGTGTAATAGTTTTGTTTCCCGATTTGTAAATGTTCAATAGTTTGTATAGTTTAATAGCGTTAACTTTTATCCTGATGAAAACAAATTCAAATATGTATTTTTTATTCTTATTTTCACATTTTCCATAAATACCCTCAAGAAGGCAGTTTTGTACTCTCTGCAAAATGTTGTTTGTGTGACATCACAGTGATGATCCCCCATGTCTGTTCTCACAATTACAAGTTTTTAACTTTGTTGTTCATCTCCTGATATTAACAGGATGCCATTTCCGTGTCCCAGCAGCTGGACTTTCTTCTCAGCTGATGCAGTGATGGTGCTGCGATAAGAGTAGTGCTTATTTTTGGTAGGATGGATTTCGTTTAACAAGGACATTGAAATAAATTTTTGTAGGCGTGTCTAATTATGACTGAATAACGTTTTTTTCGGGTGGTTACACAGACACTCAGCAGAACGAGTGCCTGTGGAGTTGCACTATTAGGACGTATGCTGCTGTAGTCATCACAACACTACTAGCGTGGTGGCACCCGTCACGGTGGGTAAGGAAGCAATTAGCTTTACTAATTAACGACAGACGGCCGTTTCGGGGCGAGAGCGTGCACGCCGTTAAACGCCAGGCCCCGCCCCGTTCACTTCACGAACCCACAGCAACGCGCGCCGCGCGAGCCGGCACCATGGCAACGGGCGCCGAGTCACGTGGGCTCAGCACTTCCGCTTCCGGTTACCCTCTCACCCCAAGATGGCGGCGCCCGTGGGACCGGTGAAGTTTTGGAAGCCGGGTGAGGGCGGTGCGGCTGTGTGGTAGAGCAGGCTTGCGCCTTCCTCCTTTCCCTTTTTTTATCCTTTCCTCCGTGGGCTAAAGCGCGCTTCTGGCCCCGGGGGTGGCGGGGAACTGCACGGGCTGCGCTGCCGGAGGAGCGCTCTGCCCCTCAACCGGAGGGTGTGCGGGAGGAGAGGCCTCTGTGAGCGCCGCTCGGTGCCGGGAGCGCTCTGCGGCCAGCGGGCACCGTGTGCCCTTGTAGCTGGGGAGTGGTGGAGGCTTCGCTGAGAGAGGACTGAGGGAAGAGAGCCGCCCTGCAGCGCTCCTGAGGTTGCGTCGGGAGCCTGGGGGGCTCCCGGCAGCACGCAGACATGGGCTTAACGCAGCGGGTCCGGGAAGGGCCGTGAATGCGATCGCAGAGTGGAACACGAGGGCGGCTGGAGCAGGTCAAGCTGAAGAAGGGGGGGCTGAGGGATGTTTTTTGGGCTGTTAGAAAGATGGGGACAGACTCTAAAGCAGCGTCCATTGCAATAGGGCAAGGGGAAATGCTTTCAAACTGGAGGAGAAGAGATTTAGGTTGCATATAAGAAAGAAGTTATTTACGCTAAGTGTGGTGAAGCACTGGCATAGGTTGCGTAGAGAAGTGGTGGATTCCCCATCCCTGGAGACATTCAAGGTCAGGCTGGATGGGGCTCTGAGCACTTGATGGAGCTGTCGGTGTCCCTGTTCATTGCAGTAGAATTGTCCTAGATGACCTTTTATGTCCCTTTCATCTCAAATAATTCTTTGTTCTGAATGGCAGTGGGCTCTTGAGCCTTCCTGTTTCTTACCTCACCTGTTCTGGGAGTGGATAGTTATCAGAGTCAGTGCTAACTGTTGTTAAAATTGGTTCAGTGTGCTGCGAAACTACTTGGCAGCTTTGAGTTGGGGTGAATTGTTTTTCAACAGTGGAAACAGTGGGGAAGAACTCCAAGCAAGCAAATCCTACAAAACAGGAGAAATCCCTTTGCTCTCAGATTTTCCCAGTTGAATTTGCAGCTAGAGACAATACATTCTTTTGTTGAGATGAGTTGTTGCTTTTGGCTTGCCTGCATTATTTGGAATTTTTGGTTGTCACTAGTTTTATTTTAACACGCAGCAGAAATAAATCAAATTTCAGATACTGAGGTAAATGTAGAGCTGCAGTGGTGTATCTCATCAGCAGGCAAGGCTGAATGCTTTTGTGATTCATGCTAGTCCAAAGGAGTCCTGTTACGTGGCTGACTGGCTTGAAACCCGTGGCCATACTTCTGAGATTGATGAAGTTATATCTGAACTGCTGCATGGAAGAATAACAGTCCGAACACCTTGCTGTTTATTTTTCCTATGTGCTTTTTTTCTCCTTTATCTTCCTTTAAAAATTCAAGTATGTATTCATATTAGGTTTTTAACTAGTAGGAGAAAGACATTTGCTTTGACACAATTTTTGCTTGTGTACTGATACGGAATATTTTTTATTAATTTTGGTCTCTTGATATATGCTAGGATACACGTAATTCCTCCTTGCAAGGAACATCTTGATTTTGGTTGTATTGTAAAAGTTAACTGCTGTCATGTAGGCACAGAAGGTCCTGGCATCAGCGTCTCAGAGGAGAGGCAGAGTCCTGCAGAGAGCAGTGGTGTAACCGTCATCTATAATCCTTATGCTTCTCTGTCTATTGAACAACAAAGACAAAAGCTGCCTGTTTTTAAGGTACAAGAGTTCTTTTTGGGGTTATTAAATCAGTTGGATGGTGCCTGGCTTTTGGGTTTTGTTTGTATTTGAGAAAGCAGTATAGAAACCTTTTACAACGTAGAACAGTTGTTACATGATCTCATTCTCTTTATTTGCTGAAATTGATCATTCTCATTGACAGCTGTTACCAACAGTTTTATGGGCTTTGTAGATTTAGTTCAGTTACTGTATTTTGCATGCTTATTTGTAGATTTGAAAGAATCTCTTAACTTTTGGCAGTACATTTTCTGTAAAATGAATTTGCTTAGGTAAATACTGATGTTAGCTTTCTTATTTTTGTACAAATCTGGTTTTGATACCTAAGTGTTATCTCTTTCAGCTAAGAAATCACATACTTTATCTAGTGGAGAGCTATCAAACTCTGGTGATTGTTGGAGAGACAGGATGTGGGAAGTCAACACAAATTCCACAGGTAATTGTGTGTTTAGCTTGGTAAAATCTGGTACTCCCTTAGGGGATTTTGCATGAAATATTAAACCAGCATCCCAGAACTGTGCTGTAAGAATGGAACTTGCCAGCACTGTGTGTGTGTGTGTGTGTGTGTGTGTGTGTTTATGTGTGCATGACCAGAAGGAGAGAAAAGTAAAGCTTCATATTTGATAGCAGGAGCTGGCATATCTGATATAGAAAGCCTTTTTTCACTCCTGGAAAGGAGCATACCCTACACATTTATGCTGATACAAATAGTAGTTACTCTGCTAATGTAAATGGTTTTATAACTTTATTAGAATTAAGTTTAACGTTTTGTTGAAAATATGGTTTTGAGAAGGAAAGGAAGTGTAGGTTTCTCATAAGTTTTTCATAAGTTATTCGTAATATAAATAACTGCAAGCTAATGATGAATGCCATCCATTTCAGTATGAGAACTTGACTTGTGCTGCTTAGCTTTTTGTCTTCAAAAAGGTTATAAAATAAAGGAAAGAAAATAAAAAACAAAGCAGTTCAAATTAATACTTGAGACTCAAACAACTGCTTTTAGCATATCTTCTGAAAGCTAATGTTCTTAGGAAGTAGTTATTATACTATACTTTTCTTAATTAAAAGCAACTATAGAAACCTATATTGTTTTTCATGGTGAGACAAATGATGTACAAAAAGTAACTGATTTGCTTCAGATCATGCATAAGCTTGTGTCAGAATCAGAGCAAAGCAAACAGTGAGAACAGTGAGGACAGCTAGCACCTCTTAATCATAATGACTTATTTCCCTAAATACTTGTTTGCAGTATCTAGCAGAAGCTGGTTGGACAGCTGAAGGAAGAGTGGTTGGGGTGACACAGCCTCGTCGAGTTGCTGCTGTTTCAGTGAGTTTCTCCATGTCCAGATTTTCCCACTTTATTATCATTATAACTTCTGATTTATTAGTGGTTTTTGCTGAATAACAGGAATGGTTAACTCCGAGCTCCCGAATGAATAGGGGTTTCTGCTTATCTTCCTTCCGGAATTTCTGATACTGTATGCTGAATTCAGCATGATTAGTAGGTCTTGCCAACAACTTCAAGGCCGGAATAGCAGATGAAGAAGCTTAGAAATAAAATTCAGTTGCATCAGCAGAACTATACAGGGAGTCAGGACTGTGCAAGGTTGAGCTGTGATTGACTCTGGGCTAGGATTATGATTGTACAGTCTCTAACTTGTTTCCCAGAGTAAAGCAGTGGTACAAATTGTGTGCAGTAACGTGGCCAGTGGAGGAGGTTGTATACATCTTTCCTTTCTAGCAACTCATACCTAATTTTCTTTAACTTTTTTTTTTTTTTTTTTTACTGTTTACCCTGGTAAGAGGGTGGGGGGAAAAGAAGAAACAAATTTGATCATCTTTGCATTTAACTGGTATGCCTGGGAGCACATAATGTAAGTTAAGTGTACTATGAGAGGGAGAAGGGACAACAACTTGCACTCTGTGTTAATAATCTGCACAGAAAGCAGCCAGTGCTGTTTGTTTTCATGACTGCCACCAAACACTGAATAGGTTGGCTGAAGCTTTTCTGCTGCCAATTCCTCCTTACTGTAAAAGTAAATTCATGTGCCTTTTTGT